TTTTTTTTTTTTTTTTTTTTTTTAACTGGGGATCAAACTCGGATCCTTGCACTTGAAAGGCAGACAGTGGAACCACTGAGCTAAATCCCTAGCTCTCTGCTATTACCTTTTAACATAGATACTTAGAAAATGTCAAAATTTTTTAAAAATAGAAAAATGTCAAAATTCTACATGCACCTTGGTTTGCATTTTATTTCAGTTGGATAGGTTGGCCTTAAAAATTAAAATGCACTTGAGGGGAGTTAGCATTACTTTCTAAGATTGAACAAATGTATTTCTTTTAAAGCTATATATTCAATATATTCATACTCAGTAGTGTGTGATTTTTGTCAGGTGAAGCAGTAATTGTCACTGTCCCTCTCCTACAGAGGAGTGTTGCAGTCACTCATTGAAAAACACTTCCCTGCTCCAGACAGGAAAAAACTATATAGTTTGCTGGGAATCGATTTGACAGCTCCAAGTAACAACAGTTCACCAAGAGATAGCCCTTGTAAAGAAAATAAAATGAAGAAACGGAAAGGTGAGTACTGAGATTTGCTATTGCAAGCTCTATGGATTTGGGCACTTTGAAACAGTAGTATTTTGGAAATGATCTGCTTTTCTTAAACTAGCAAGTTGTATATTTTCAGTGTTGCTCTCGTATTTTTGAATGTACAAGTAACTTTTAAATTAGCACTTCATCTTCTCCCTACCTCGCAAGCACAAGGTCCTGAGTTTGATCCCTGGTACCAAAAAATTTTTTTTTTGCTTAAATTAGAACATGAGCAGTTGACTGGTGCTAGGCATGTAAGTCTTAGCTGTCACATGTTTATCATTTAACCCACCAGAGGTGCTTAGGAAGCTAGGTCTTATTTTTCTAGCTTTATAGGCAAAGCTAAAGCTCAGAAAGATTAATAGGATAAGAAATGTTTCCAGACTCACATAACAAATGGTGTGTCTCATTGTCAAAGCTGCCATTGTCAAAGCTGCCTTTTAAGGCACTCTGAACTGGGTGGAGAGAACTGTCAGAGGCTTGGGTTGGTTACTGAATTACCTGGCGCACACTCCTCTTTGCTAGACAGTTTGTGATACGCACTTGAGTTGCTGATTGGCTCTGAAATGTTAACTTCTCAACCTGTTTTTCTGAAATGGAATAGCTAACATAATCGCATCTTAGTATTCTCAAGGTCTGGGTTCAGTGCTTAGCATCATTCAAGCTGATAAATAAATAGACTTGAGGTGCTATGTATTCTAAATGCCTGGCACTTTAACCTTATTTCATCCATTTTGGATACATGTTTCTCCATTTTTACTTATGCCTAAAAATTAGTTGGCTTTTATAGTTTCATTTTGGTTTGGTTTTGTGAAACAGGGTCTTGCTGTGTAGTTCAGATTGTCCGGAGCTCACTGTGTAGCCCAGGCTGGCCTCAGCTCACTGTGTAGCCCAGGTTGGCCTCAATCTCTTGGTGATCCTCCTGCCTCAGTCTCCTGAGTGCTGGGATTACAGGTGTGCACCATACCCAGTGGCTATTATAGTTTAATTGGTAGTTTTTAAAAAATTTTAGTGGTACAAAAGGTAATGTTGTCCTGTAATCAGTAGTATCTTAGGAAGACTAAGTGTTCATGTTTTGCTTTCTTGAGTTAGGTTCTCAGTAGCTCATTCATACTAGAACCTTTAAATTTTTTTAGTTTTGGTTAACTCCAAATATCTTTTCTGAATATTAAATAACAATTCAAACCAGTACTTGGTGCATCTTCAAAAAATGAGGTTTTTCAGTCTGATGAAATATAGCTCAGTGATATAGAGTGCCTGGCATAGTGTGAGGCCCTGGGTTAAATCCTCAGCAATTGAAAAGAAAAAGGTTTTCTGAATTGGTTTTTCTCCATATTCCATGACTGTGAAGCTGTAATTATCCAGGCTCTTTGTACAACATTGTACACAATTAATGGTGGCTGCCAGGGTTCTGTTTTAACTGTTCTGACTCAGTTTTGAAACCTGTGACCTTGAAGGCTGTACTGAGTTTTAAATTTGTGTCTGATTTCTTGGGAGTCACTGAATGAACAGAGCTCACTTCTTAGGGGATTCTGAAGAGTGCTTGCTTGTGAGTTTTGTTTTTACATTTTCTCTGTCTTCACTTCTCATTTGAATCATTCATGAACTAAATGTGATGTTCTAGAGCTTTAGAAACATTTTATTTCAGCTAAGGATATTATTTGGGTCTCTGCTAGGTGAAGAAATAACTCGAGAAGCCAAAAAAGCACGAAAAGTTGGTGGCCTCGCAGGTAGCAGTTCTGATGAGAGTGGGAGTGAGTCTGATGCCTCTGACATTGAGGAAAGTGACTATGAGAGCTCTAAAAACATGAGCTCTGGTGATGATGACGATTTCAACCCCTTTCGAGACGAATCTAGCGAGGATGATGAAGACGGTGAGTTCATCCTTCCAGGCGAATTCTTGGACAGTCTTGTTCCAGGATACTGCACAGGGCGTGATGTGTTAGGATCTTCTTTCTGGGCAGCATAGAGGATCACATGGACTCTAACCTTTGCCCGGTAGAGTGCTCGGACTGGTCTGTCTGTTGGTCGTTTGAGCCTCAACAGATGAGATTCTGATCTCATTTTCATGTGGTTATTTGTTTTTGTCAGTCCATGTTTATAGTGCATAATGATCATGTTCATCATGGGGATTTGCCACATGCAGATCATTAATGCATTTTAATTCTTTAAATATCCCCTTCCTGACTCCTGCCTCTTCCTCTTACAGTTATTTTTCACATCAAAATATGAAATGATACCCAGTGGAGTATGAATGGAATATTTCCGTAGTTCGCAATGATTTGCAAATAATCAGTGAATAGTACAAAAAAAATTTCAGTGTTGAGCCTCATATGGTATTAGACACCTTTATTTCCAGCTGCTTGGTAGGCTGAGGCAAGAGGATCCACAAGTTCTAGGCCAGCCTTATTTAGTGAGACTTTGTCTCAAAGTAACAAATGGTTAAGGTTGTAACTCAGTGGCAGAGCATTTGAAGCCCTGTGCTCAGTCCCTAATAACCACCCACAAAATTCTAGGGTTATGTCCTTTGAATATACTACATTTGGTTTAACCAGTAATTTGAAGTACATTTTTTCCTTATCTTTCAGATCCTTGGCTAATCAGAAAAGACCATAAGAAAAACAAAGATAAAAAAAAGAAGAAAAGTATAGATCCAGATTCTATTCAAAGTGCCTTATTAGCATCAGGTCTCGGATCAAAACGACCTAGTTTTTCATCTACACCAGTCATCTCACCTGCTCCTAACAGTGCACCAGGTATCCATGTAGAAACTTGCTTTATCTGTGAAATATGCCTTTACATAAAACCAAATCCTCTGTGTAGTGACTTTGCATGAATATTCCTTCCCTAGCTAATAGTAATGTCAGCAGTAACAGCAACCTTATAACAAGTCAGGATGCTGTGGAGAGGGCCCAGCAGATGAAGAAAGACCTACTTGAGAAACTAGAAAAGTTAGCTGAAGACCTCCCTCCCAATACCCTGGATGAACTTATCGACGAGCTGGGTGGCCCTGAGAACGTTGCTGAGGTAAACCTTACTGGATCAGAGTTGTTTTCGTTCTTGTTAATTTTTTGTTACTGGGGATAGAACTCAGGACCTTGAAACTGGGAGGCAGTGTTTTTTGGTTACTTTAAAACCCTGTGAAATGAACATTAGTCAAACCTTGTGGCCTGAGTGGTATTTTGGGTATCATCACAGTAACCTGCCTGGTTTCCTCCCTCGGATTTTAGAACAGTCACCTCACTTCATTTATCCATCTGAAGTGCTGAAGTCTTGTCCCCAGTGTCTGAGTGCCCTGAGCCATTGGTCTGGGTTGTCATCCTTGTGGATCTTGTGTGATGGTGGGCACGTGTCATCTCTTCCGAGGGACTGTCACGGTGTGTTGTATCCCCAGGATCTGGTGCTGGCACCAGTGTCTTCAGTGAAGGGGGCGGTGCTGAGTTTTATGCACATAGTCGGCGCCGGAGTCATGATGTTTTTTGGCTTTCCAGATGACTGGCCGCAAGGGGCGTGTTGTGAGCAACGACGACGGAAGTATATCTTATGAATCAAGGTCTGAACTTGATGTGCCAGTGGAGATACTAAACATTACAGAAAAACAAAGGTTTATGGATGGAGATAAGGTATATTTTGCTAGGATGCTTTTCATTGAGAAGAGTGATTTCCATGTGTCTAGATTAAACTTTAGAAAGGTCTTTACCTGTCCAGACATGGTGGCACCTGCCATAGTCCCAGCTGTTTTGGAGCATGAGTCAGGAGAATTTTGAGTTTGAGGCCACCCTGAACTACATTATTAGACCCTATCACAAAAACAAAGAAAAGCAACCCCAAAACAAAGTGAGACAAATCTCAGAACATCTACTGTCATTAGAATGATACTCAGGAGTACCGCAGATTACTAGTATTCCGTGATTTCCACTTTTATTTATTGCTGTGCTGTGTTAGTAGGATTTACTGTGAATGATTCCTACCTTGAAGCACCATAGAGATTTTGGCCTCCTTCAGGGCTCTTGCTGTGGACTTCATTGTTGTTCTTGCTGGGGAGGAGCCTGGGCCAGTGCTTGCACTGAGCAGAGCTCTGTGCTCACCCACATGTCTCCTCCTTCCCCGCCCTGTACACTCATTAACTGAACTTCATCCAGGTGGGGTTTGCAAATCTGTTCTCCCTCTGATTTTATAATTCTGAACATTCATCTGCTCAGGAAATTGCTTGAATAATAGGTAACATCCCTTCAAAACAGCAAACATTTAACTGCATTACCCATGGTTTGCTTTATATTTGAGAGAGCTTTTCTGATTCTGCAACTAGAGAATTTGATGGGTACTACTATCAATATTGCCTTTAAAAACGTTATAAAGATGCTGTTACATGTTTGAAAAAGTATGAAGAAGCCTGTTGTGGTAGTGCTCGCCTATAATCCCAGCACTTGGGAGACTAAGGCAGGAGGATCATGAGTTGTGGGCTAGTCTGGACGACATGGGGAGATATTGTCTCAAAAAAAGCAAATGAAAACAAGGGCCAGTGATGTAGCTCAGTGGTGCCGTGACTGCCTGGCAAGTGCAAGGTCCTGAGTTCAATCCCCAGTACTAAGCTGACAAACAAAAATAAAAGTTGGCTTAAACAAGCTTGCTGTTACTCTTATGTGCATGTTTGTGTGCATAGACCAGGGTTGGCAAGGCCCCTTAAAAACGAGGCCTCTTTTTCTTTTTCGAAGCGGAGACAGGTTTTTCTATGTTCCCAAGCTGGTCTCCCAAATCCTGGTCACAGAGGATCCTCTGGACTCAGTCTGGAGGAGCTTGGACTGTAGGGAGGGTCCACAGAACCCCGCTTCCTGTTTCTTTAGTTATGGGATCCTCCATTTTCAAGTTGCCTCTGTCGCAAGACTGCTCTATCAGGGTTAGGTGTTTAGCTCAGTGAGTGATAGAGCACCCGCCTAGCTTGTGGGAGGCCCTGGGTTCAATCCACAGCATTGCAAAAACAAGATCCAGCTATTTCATTTCAGCTAGCAGAGAGAAAGACTTGTCCTTTCTTTTTAAGGAAGTTTCTTAGACATTGTGCCTGTCAGACAGACCCTGTAGGGTGAAGCGTGCCCACACATTTGCAGTTAGCAAGAAGACCGGAAGTGCTAACCTTGATTTTGGGTAGCTCTAGAGCAGCTGCAGCCAAGGTCCTGTCAGCCAGGAAGGCCACAGAAGGAGTTTATGTTAAGGGTACTGCTCTGCTTGTTGTGCAGAGGTGATTTTTTTCTTTTTCTTAAATTTGATGTAGAATATTGCTATCATCTCAGAAGCTGCCAGCTCTGGTATTTCATTACAAGCAGATCGCCGAGCTAAAAATCAAAGGCGAAGAGTTCATATGACTCTGGAATTACCCTGGAGTGCTGATAGAGCAATTCAACAGTTTGGTAAGTTCTGGTACTGGATTTCACTTGGTCGATGGCTGAAAATCATTCCGGAAATGTGTGCATATCAACATCAGACATTTAGAGGGCCAGGGATTTAATTTAGCTCAGTGGTTTGGTGGCCTGCCTTGCAAGCGCAAAGACCTGAGTTCCATACCCGGTACCAAAAACAAAACAAAACAAAACATCAGACATTTAGAACATGAAACCTTTGATACTGCATTTAATGAGTGTGTTTTTATTTTTATTTTTATTTATTTATTTATTTTTTTGTTTTTTGAGACGGGGTCTTACTATGTAGTTTAGACTGACCTGGAACTTGCTATGTAGCCTGGGCTGGTCTCCAACTCAAAGCAGTCCTTCTGCCTCAGCCTCCTGAGTGCTGGGAGTGCTGGGAGTGCTGGGATTACAGGCGTAAGCCATTGAGTGTGTGTTTTTTTGTTTTTTTGTTTTTTTTTGGTACTGGAGATCAAACTTGGGTCCTTGTGGCTTGCAAGGTAGGCCATCGAGCGTATTTTTAAAATGTATAGTGCACTATGAATGCATTTCTTGCTTGTATGTATTTATTTATTTATTGTTTGGTACCAGGGATTGAGCTCTGATCCTTGTGCTTGCGAGGCAGGCAGTGGAACCGCTGAGCTAAATCTCCGGCCCTCTTGCTTGCTTTTAAATCTAAAATATCTGCAATGTAATTTCACAAGCCTCCCTGTACTTTCTTTCTCCAAGAACAGAGCTCCTGGGAGTGTCTGTTGAGACTTGTGAGACACTTGGTACTTGGTGTGTCTTTTTCAACTCTCAATCGCCCAATTAATTGAAGATACATTGCTGCTCCCTTCTGGTCCATTTCATGTTCCAGGGCCTGGTGATTGAGAGTGGCTGTGTATCATCAGCTTTCTTGTTAACCAAAACTAGAGTATTGATAATAATGTTTGTTATCATTTAGCAGTTTCATGGCTAGTTCTGTTCCTTGTAAGGGGGACTAGTGCTCTGAATATGGATGTTATTTGGGTCAGTCATTGTTTTCCTTTTTGTATTTTGGGGAGCTGTGGAAAATGTTACATTTTGTTGAACTCTTCCTCTTAATTGCTTAAGGCTTTTTTTTTTTTAGTACCAACTTAATGGTAAGTTTTAGAAATAGATCTCAGAATATTCTATATAGTGAACATAATCAGTGATCTCTATCACAACGTCATTACAGGAAGAACTCACAGATCAAACCAAGTGACTGCTCCCGAGTATGTCTTTCTGATTTCTGAACTGGCAGGAGAACAAAGATTTGCCTCCATTGTTGCCAAAAGACTTGAAAGCCTGGTAAGGTTTTGAGTTGTGTAGATGCGAGTAAATGATGACCTGTGCTGGCTGATTGACCTGGCATAGAAGCTTAACTCCTTGGTTGGCAATGTTTTGATAGGGGGCGCTTACCCACGGTGACAGAAGAGCAACAGAGTCTCGGGATCTGAGCAGATTCAACTTTGACAATAAGGTACATTTCATTTCAGCTTCTCTGGACATGTGTGGTCTGCAGTGATGAGCAGGGAAAGTCGTTACAAACTGTTTCAAACTGACAGTGAAAATTTGGCCAGCATATAGAGTGCGTGAACGCAAGGCTGGAGCCTGACAGGGAAGCAGAAAGCTGTGCCTCCCCTTAGGGTGAGCCTTGACATCGTGGTGCCTGTGGCATAGCAGCGTTGCCTGGACGCTGGGCCTTCGGGAGCATGCTGCAGTGTGGTTCCCTTTCTATTCCTTTTGGGAAGAGGAATATAAGAAGCATGGGTGCCGGAGATTTAGCTCAGTGGTTCTCCTGCCTGCCTGGAAAGCCCAAGTTCCTGAGTTTGATCCCTGGTACCACAAAACAAAACAAAAGAAGCACTGGGCATTGGGTCAGGTGTGAGTTCCCAGAAGTCATGTTACTCGTTACCGTACTGCATGTTGTGTGCAAGTAATTGACGTTATAAGAAACATATAAAGATAATTGGGAAATTTTTTGGGGGGTGTCCTGGGGATTGAACTCAGGATCTTGTGCTTGTGAGGCAGGTGCAGTGCCACTGAGCTAAATCCCTGGCTGGGAACTATTATTTTATTTATTTATTTTTGTCTGTTTGTTTTTTTGGTACCAGGGATCGAACTCAGGTCCTTGTGCTTGTGAGGCAGGCACTGGAACCAATGAGCTAAATCCCCAGCCCAAGAACTATTGTTTTTAAATTGTTGGTGCAGTGGTAGTTTTTATAGCATACTGATGATCTTGTAATTGAAGTGTCCAAATTCTAAAACTGGATAAAATATATATTTTGTTTGTTTTTTTGTTTTCTTTCAGTATGGAAGAAATGCTTTAGAAATTGTTATGAAATCCATTGTAAATTTGGATTCTCCTATGGTATCACCACCTCCAGACTATCCTGGAGAATTCTTCAAAGGTAACCTAGAAAAGTTGTTAGAAGCATGAAAAATGGTTACTGACAGACACGGAAAAAAACATTCTAACATTTGTTGTTTCAACAGTTACTTTTCTTTGGGTATAAACTATGTAAAATTTTGAAATTTTAAGGTGACTAGAACATTCATTTGCTTTCTATAATGGAAAGGTTTGTTAAAACTGGTTTTATGCCTATGAAAGTGCTTTTATTCTTAATTTATTGTATGTTGTATGTAGTAGATCTAACAGAGGAAAGTGGTTTGTTACCTGAATTAAACTCAGTTTGCTGGGATGGGTTAGCTTAGTGGTGCTGCCGCCTGCCTTGCAAGTACAAGGACCTGAGTGTGATCCCTGGTACCAAACAAACAAACAAACAAAATAACTCACTTTGCCAGTAGCTTTTAAAATTTAGTTTTAATCTTGGGTTCAAGATTGGCAGAGCATAAGGCTATAATATGCTGAAGTCATTTGGGGTTTAGGTCTAGGTTTTTTGTGTGTATTTCATTGGTTCTGTGGATTGAATGCATTCCAGCCAAGTGCTTTACCAGTTAACTACTTCAGCAGCGTGCAAATGTCCCCTCACCATATACTTTTTTAAATTGTTTTCCTTTGAGCTGTGCCTAAATTTTCCAGGCTAGGCTTGAACTTATGATCCTCTTGCCTCATCCTCCCAAGTAGCTGGGTAATATTACAGGCAAGCACTACCACGTCAGAGTTGGTCATAAAGGTATTTTTTATAACTTTCTCCTTTTTTGGTGGCAGAGTGGGGCTGCTGCTGCATAATGAACCCAGGGCCTCACACTAAGCTACATCTGTGGCCTTTTTTAAAAATTTTGAGACGGGGGAAAAAAAACATTTTTTTTGAGACAGGTTCTTGCCTGGGTTTGGCTTGAACTTGTAGCCCTCCTGCCTCAGCCTCCCAAAATGATGAATTACAGGGTAAGTTTATTTTCTTATAGATGTTCAACAAGGACTGATAGGTGTGGGACTGATCAATGTAGAAGATCGCTCAGGAATTCTTACTCTTGATAAAGGTAATATTGTTAATTTCTATCTACTTATAATTGTTGCTGTATTAATGAAGCTTGTTTTGTTACATGTGCCTTTTTTTTCTTTTTAGCTAAGAGGAAGCTTCAGGTCATTCTTGTTTTTGGGGGGGTACTGGTGATCAAACTTGGGAACTTGCACTTGCCAGGCTGGTGGTGGCACCACTGAGCCATATCCCCGGCCCAGCTTCAGGTCATTCTTTCCTAATCTCTTGGTACTGAGCACTCCTAGCACTCCTGGTAGTTTCAGCTGCTGTGGCTATTCAGAGGAGGTAACAGAATGGCAGTTCTCAACCTGGGCTGCCCATGTGATCAGCTGTTTCAGTTGTTTTTGTTTGTTTGTTTTTTGAGACAGGGTCTCTTTGTAGTTCAGGCTGGCCTTAAACTCACTATGTAGCCCAAGTGGTCTTCGAATTCATGGCAATTCTTCTGCCTCACCCTCTTGAGGGCTGAGATTACTGGCATGTGCGACCACGCCTGGCTATCCAGCTTTTATACAATATTGAATCCAGGGATGACTCTCAAACATTGATAATTTTCCAAAGCTCCCAGGAACGCCAGTTGTGCAGCCAGGGTAGAGGGTCCCTGACTCATACAACAATTACACTTTGAGTTCAGATTTAATGGGCTGGGGATTTAGCTTAGTGCCACTGTACCTGCCTCCTAAGCACAAGGTCCTGAGTTCCATCCCTGGTGCTGGGAAAAAAAAATGAGTTCAGACTTAATGTTGGTAAACCTGCCTTATCTCATGCTAAATTGTGTTCATTTTGGGCTTAAGTGAGGTTAAAGATGCACAAAGTCACTGAGCAAATACTTTTGAGTATGTATTGCAGTGCTGAGGTACTAGAGGTAGAAATGGGCCAATGATATAAGAATCTGAAGTAAACGCTATAGAAAAAAAGTGGATTTGAAGTTGGTCAGATTGAATTTTTTAAAAAATGTTAATTACTGCTTGAATGCATGAAATCGTGTGTAATCTTGTTGCAGACTACAACAACATAGGAAAGTTCTTAAATAGAATTCTGGGCATGGAAGTGCATCAGCAGAATGCATTATTTCAGTATTTTGCGGACACACTTACTGCAGTTGTTCAGAATGCCAAAAAAAATGGACGATACGACATGGGAATCCTAGGTAAGTGGAAGATTTAAAACCATCGCGTGGGTTCCTGATAGCAGTGTTCTCTTTACCTTATGTATTGCTTTTCTTTTTTAAGATCTTGGTTCTGGAGATGAGAAGGTGAGGAAAAGTGATGTTAAGAAGTTCCTGACTCCAGGCTATTCAACCTCTGGCCATGTAGAGTTATACACTGTAAGTTCGGAAAGCGATTCTGTCCTGTTGGGGGAGAGTTCTGTGATGGGCATTGATAAAAGTGTCCGACTTTAAAATCTCATGGTTTCTTTTACAGATCAGTGTAGAGAGGGGGATGTCCTGGGAGGAAGCGACCAAGATCTGGGCTGAACTGACAGGACCAGATGATGGCTTCTATTTGTCATTGCAAGTACGGCTTCCCTTAAATGTTAATCATGAAGATTGTACGTGCTTTTTTACCGTGAGCGCTTTAATCTTTTTGCTTTGTGCTGAGTGTCTAGTTGTGTTTGCCCTCCTTTGTGATAATTTATTCTTACAATTATTATGTGACCATTTACATGCATTTCCACTTAATTCATTTTGAGGGATGTTAAAGAGCCCTTTTTCGGTTTTTGTATGTTTGATTTTTTTTTTTTTTTTTTTGGTTTTTT